TCAAAGGGGTGTGGTTTTTGCTGGGAAAATGGCCGTCCGCTGGGGGTGGAAGGGTGGGCTGGGGCAGGGCGTTGGAGTACGTCGTGCTGGAAGAGGGCCGATGTCCGGGGGTTCCTGAGAAGCGGAGGCAGGATGAGAAAATAAAAGGTAAAATCCGTTTGACTACCAGGACCTTGAATTCGAAAAAGCTGGTATTGGGACTCTCTGAAGTGCTGTTCTGTCTCTGCCGAGTTGCCAGCCTGTGTCTGTGGATTTTGCTCCTGAAGGCCAATCCGACTCAACAGCAAGAAGAGGAACATTGTCCAGAAACAAGTAGGTCGGAGTGAGAGTGCTGGCAGTGTTTGGGGACCCTTCAGGTGGAGAATGGTAGAGACTGCAAACTCGAGTGGCCCTCCTCTGAATCCCCGTCCTTCGCTCATCTCTACAGCATTTCAGAGCTTGCAAAAGAAAGTTCTCTGCTGGTACAAGACAGGGAAAGAAGTGACTGGAAGGGGGAGGGTATCACTAGAGTCCTGGGGTGGGAGTAGGGAAAATCTTGCTCCAAATTACTCTTTGGGGTACAGTCCTTGGTGTTAGTTTGCCCTTCATGCACTCAGTCCCAGAGTTGTCAGTCCTTTAGGTTTGGTGGAGGCAGAAACCAAGTTGAGAATGAAGGAAATTCTTTTGGAGCAGTGGCAGTTGGTGTAATGGGTTGCCTAGGAGTGTCTTAGTGCCTCTGAGATGGTGGGGGTGGTGAAGGCAAGGGTGAAATTCCAGACCTTCGTTCATTTTATCCCTGTCTGACTTATACACACTCTCGATCTACCACCATCGATTTTGTTAAGGAAGGGAGTGTGGCATCATCTTTAGAGGAAGTGATTTTCAGAGGTGGGGGTGGGGTGGAGGATTGGAGAAGATCCAAGGAGGTGGAGGAGGGTGGTAATGAACTTCAAAGGCCAAGCACTGTGAGGAGTATGACGTAGGTGGAAATACTCGTCTACGTAGAGGAGGGCCAGAGATTCCAGAGAGAGACATATGTCCAGTCCTGGGTGAGGTCATCTGCACCCTAAGCTCTCAGCAGTCCTCTCCCCACCCCTTATGTATGCAGGTTTGCAGAATACAGTGCACCTCCAGGCCAGAAAGAATAGGAAGAAACTGTCTGGACCTGTGTACGTGTATGTGGGGGTGCCACTGCCCCCAGGACATCTGGAGAGGCAAAGGAGGTACAGAACTGATTAGATACCTTAAATTGAATGAACTGGGGTGAGGTGGTTGAACATGAGGCTGGAGAATCTGGAGGTGGGGAAAATTTTCAAAATTAACTTCCCTATGTAGGAAAAGGATCAGTGGTCTAGCCCTGAGTCCCTGCCATGTCCCTGTCCCTTTGTCTGCCCTTAGTTTAGTCTGTCTGGATGCGAAGGTACAAAAGGAGGAGACTGAAGCCTCAAGTCTTTCCTTCTTTCTTAGGTGCTGCGGTATCTGCAGCTTCTGAAGAGCCTGCCAACTATAGACAAAGACTCCCCCGGACTTCAGATAACTCTAAGTGACAGCAAGCCTGCTCTGCCCAGGTTAAGAATTTGGCTCAGACATTCTCCCCAGTATGGGTCGAACTCGGGAAGCTGGCTGTGTGGCTGCTGGCGTGGTTATCGGGGCTGGCGCTTGCTACTGCGTCTACAGACTGACCTGGGGAAGAGATGATGTCGAGAAAATCTGGGATTACGATGATGACGATGAAGATGAGGAATCTAGTGATCTTACAGAGATAGGGGTAGAGACTGGGAAAGGAGCTAATACTGGGGTTGGGGCCAGAGCTAGACTTCAGGGTGACTCAAAGGCCAAGGCTGAGGTGGGCATGGAACTCAAGCGTGGTCCAGATGTAAAGGTGGAAGCCCACTCAGGGGCCCAGAGAGGAGGTGGCCTAGAAGCCAAGGCCAAGGCCCTTTTCAGCACGCTGAAGGAACAGGCAAGTGCAAAGGCGGGCAAAGGGCCCAGGTTGGGTACCATCTCTGGGACAAGGACCCTTGCATCGAGTTTACCCTGCCCAGGAGGCAGGGGTGGAGGCTGCCACCCCACTAGGAGTGGGGCTAGGGCTGGGAACAGGGCAAGCGGAAAGTCCAAGGGAAGGGCCCGAGCTAAGAGCACCAGGACTCCAGCTACAACATGGCCTGTTCGCAGGGGCAAGTTCAACTTTCCCTATAAAATTGATGATATTCTAGGTGCTACAGACCTTCAAAAGGTCCTTAACATCCTGGAAAGAACAAACGATCCCTTTATTCAAGAAGTAGCCTTGGTCACTCTTGGTAACAATGCAGCATATTCATTTAACCAAAATGCCATTCGTGAATTAGGTGGTCTCCCAATAATTGCAAAACTGATAAAAACAAAAGATCCCATTATTAGAGAAAAGGCTTACAATGCCCTTAATAACTTGAGTGTGAATGCTGAAAATCAGGGCAAGATTAAGACATATATCAGTCAAGTGTGTGATGATACCATGATTTGTCGCTTGGACTCAGCTGTGCAAATGGCTGGACTAAGACTGTTAACCAACATGACTGTGACTAATCATTACCAACATTTGCTTTCCTATTCTTTTCCAGACTTTTTTGCTTTGTTATTCTTGGGAAATTACTTCACCAAGATTCAGATTATGAAACTACTTATAAACTTTACTGAAAATCCAGCCATGACAAGAGAGCTGGTCAGTTGTAAAGTACCATCAGAGTTGATTTCCCTATTTAATAAAGAATGGGACAGAGAGATTCTTCTTAATATTCTAACCTTATTTGAGAATATAAATGACAACATAAAAAACGAAGGGCTTGCATCATCCAGGAAAGAGTTCAGCAGAAGTTCACTTTTTTTCTTATTCAAAGAATCTGGGGTGTGTGTTAAAAAAATCAAAGCATTAGCAAATCACAATGATCTGGTGGTGAAAGTAAAAGTTCTCAAAGTATTGACCAAACTTTAATCGGGGGTCTGTCCCAAACAATATAGAGATAAAATTTTTTTTAGTTTGCACTTGGGAACAATACATTTTGTAAATTCTTTGTTTTTCACTGTGCTTATATGGCAAAGAGATACTTTCAGCTGCTATTTTGGAATAATGAATACATACATCAACAGTGATGCTTTTTGTGATGGCTGGTTTTAGGCTGGACCATTTTAAGAATGCCAAATGAATACCAGAACTTGTACAAAGAAAGCATTTAATTGATTCCATCTTGCTACTTAGATTGTGAGATATTTTTACTCTTTACCTAAACTGCCAGCAAACTAATCATAAAAAACCTACACTTTTGTATTGGTTTACATTTGTTAATCTTAGACTTGTGTTTTATCAATAAAGTTGTGTGTTTTAACCAGCATAAAAAGAAATTTATCATGTTCTTGAGTTTCTGATCTGTTTGGGAGAGTAAGATGTATCAAAACAGATTTTAACAAAACCAGGAGCCATTGATCATGGCTAGCTCCTTCCTATTAGTTCTTAGAGGTGGCAGAAACTTCTGCAGGCAACACTGCTCAGAGTTAGTTTTACAGAAGAGGAGACACTTAAGCTGAGCTTGAAGGATAGGATAAAAGCAAGGCAGAAGGGCATTGGAGGAGAGAAGAGTGGTGGGAAGAAAGGCATGGAGGTGAGAATCCTGCTCCAGAGAGGAGGCTGGCCTGCCTGAGTGCAAAGTGTGGAAAAGGGAGTGACAAGAAATATAGTTCAGCAGTTGGGGTGAGTCCCATTCATGGAGGGTCCATGATTGCTACACTGAGGTGTCTGTATATTACTCCATCCAACTGGGAGACACCAAAGCCCTTTATGACCACGAAAATGACAGGATGAAATGAAAACAATGTGGCTGATTTGCGTGCAAGATGGGTCTGAGTTGGGGAGGGGACAGGAGTGGCCACTGAAGATTGGAACACCAGTTAGGAAGTTACCACCATAGTCCAATACAAGATGATAAAGGTGTGAAATGTTACTGCTGGTCATGGGAATGATAAGGGGAAGAAAGAAGTTAGAAACCCTTTGAACAAAGAAATGCTGGGACCTATTCTGCGGGTCAATAGGGAGAGACAGTTTTACTTTAGGGTATTTGATAGGAAAACATCCTCTTTCTTGACCAACTCTGTTATCTGTATAAGTGAATACACTAGTTACTACCTTTTTTCTTTTTCTTTTTTTTTTTT